TAATTTAGTGACTGAAATGTGGCACCTCTTATGCCTTCAAAAAAAGCCTGTGTCATGACGCAGACTGGGCTTGTCCACTGTCTCACCAAGTTCACTCCTGGTTGCCTACCTGACTTGCCCTCAAGGTGAACATCGTAGCCAGACATCCGACCTGCTGTGAGTCCCTGCAGGCTGCTGCATAGGATGAGTGTAATGCAGGACAGACCTTCCCCATAGACCCCAGCCCTTGGAAGAGCTTTCTGGAGAGACGTGCAGCACACAGTCCCCTACCTGTGCAACTTTAGAAGCCGTCAGGGTGGAAGAAACAGGAGGAAAAAAAAATATCAGTACCTCTAACATCCCCAGTGAGTTTCCATGCATAATGAATTGCAACATGCATCCTTCGGGTTCAGTTTGGTGCTCAGTGAGCCAAACTGGGAATTAATTCTTGGCTCCAGCTGCTGAAAGACCAGCCTTTTATGCAGAAAAAATGCTGTAGGCTATTGGGGCTACTTCCATATCCAGGGCACACCTTCCATCACTCCTCAACCAAGCAAACCAGCAAAGTGAGCACTTGGGAGAGTTTACCCCACAAGCAAAATGCTTATTCAAAGTTATGTTAATGAGCATAGCAAATTTCACTTTGGGAGGGAAATTGAGATTTCCAAATAGAAATAAAAAGACTATCCTGTGTTTACCATGGCAAATACTTTTTTTTAATTCTTGAAATATATATCAGACAGTTTGGGTTTCTTTTGCTTTGATGCTCTGTTTTGTGTAATATATAAACAATACAGAAAAATCTTTCTCTCACAGGGCTCTGGCAACAATGGGTTCTTTATCAGTAACTTGTTCATACAGTACTGAGCAGCTGCCTATAAAGCAGTATTGGTCTGCTTTGAACAAAACGGAGATGTATTTTGAACCCCTGGTAATCTCGTCTAGTATAAGAATGAAAAAAAACAAGTGTACAGGAATTTAAGTTTCCCCTATGATGCCTGTAACTGGGTGGATATACCTCTAATCACAAACTGTTTCTTCCAGTCTCACCACTTGCTTTTGTTCTCTCATTTAGCTTATTTACCACCACCAGAGATCTGATTTGTTAAAGAGGTTAATTTGTTTACTCACCTAGAAGGGGAGAAAAAAATCTGCCCATTTGTTGGCTGCAGAAATATGGGCACCAAATCCAAAATGCAAATAGTGTTGGGCTTTGTTGGGGAAAGGGGTGACAGCAGCTGTGCCACCCCACAAGAATCTGTTCTCAAGCATCATTATAAAGAGGAAAAAGCTACTGAGGATGACCATTCTGTGGCAAGGATAGTTTAAATCTCTTCCACTCTAATTCAAACAAAGAAGAAGGGAAAAATAGAAAACTATTCAATGGCACAGAGTAGGAGAAGTGTTTTTTGGCTCCGGTAACCACACAGCCATGAAAGACCACTATAATGGAAACTGCTCTGGATTTCTCTTTGGAACAGCTGCAAGGCAGTTATTGAAATGTACTCATTTACTTCTAGTGTTTGGCTGGTAAGATCCACTGCTGGCGAAAGCAAAGAAAGAATGATGAATTTTCGTTGTTTTCTTGTTTTAAGCATTTCTGAAGCACTGTTGGAAGTCCCTGGTTCATTAAGCTCAAATCATTTCTTCTTCAAAGCTTTTACTGCAGAATTCATCTCATGCCATTCACAAAGAGAGAAGATACTAATCACTCCACAGAGTACATTAATCAGTTTAGATCACCACTTGTTATGTTTCCTTTTTGCAAACAGCAAAGCCCTCTGGGATGCTAAATGCTTCTTAGAGAATTATTTAACTTTCCGCTTACTGCATTATCCGATTAATGAGGTTTCTATGATAGAATTTTTCTTATACATAGCTGAGGCATGAAATCATCACATGTACCACAAAATATCCCCAATTTAAAACTCAAAAAGTTCTGTTACATTTTGTTTCTCCGTCTTTAGGAGCAGGATTGCTTATCTAATCTGAAATCACTAGATTCTGCCTTACAATAAAACCCCATTGCCAAAAAATCAAAGAATATTCTGGGAATTTTTCACTTAATGGACTTCTTTGACATACTGTGAATGGTGTCCCAGAACTATTTTCTATTTCATATTTCAGCTACGGATAGCTAAACTACCCTGAAACTTTACTTATCCTTCACATTTAAACATGACAAAGATGCCTTAAATCTCTGCTCTTAAATGATGCCTTAAATCTCACTCCATATGTCTGGTAACAGGATGCTGGTAGGGATGACTGTGGAAAACGTGCGGCTTCAGTAGAGGGTTGTAGAGAGCACCACGAGCAGTCCCTGTGCTGACACACTAGCAATAAGAATATTTTAAAACAGTAACAACAGTTTCACACCTGGCATCAAGAAGTTACTTTCAAAAACTATTCCAAAATGTAAATCTTTTGTTAGCTGACTCAGAAGACAAATCTTGAGAAAAACACCATTTGCAATTAAATTAGTAGGAACTTCCCTCATTGTGGTGCCACCACATGCATCTATAGGATTCAAGTCCAAGCAAAACCTGTCTGGGTGGGCTTCAGATTGCAAAAGGTCCCGCTGAGGTCTCTGGAATTCTCTCCCATGGTAAATAAGAGTCTATTCTTATTTGCCCTCTGCAGTTAAAGGACTGACAATAGGCAGAGGAAAATTTATTACTGAGATGTACACACATACATACATATATATGTATACAAAATAGATAATATTTATTTCTAAGACTAAATGGACCAAATGTGAAGAAAACCAACTGTCCTAGCAATGCTAAAGGAAAGTTTAAAGATAAAAGATAAAAACAAAAGATTAGAGAAAGTTTAAAGTCAAGTAGCAGAACACTTCTTTTTGTAACTGAGATGCCATCTAGCTCATGCAGAAGGCATGCAAGGCTACTTCCAAGTTTAAAAAAAAACCCTTCCTTAAAACATTAGTCTCTAAATGTCTTCTGCAGCACACTGTGGCATTTGCTCAGTTTTAAAAGGCAAAATAATGTCCTCCAGAAAAAAATGCATTATAATGAATATAGTTTTCTAAACTATATCCAAAATTCACTTGTATGTCAATGGAAATTTGAAAGGCAAGACCATGTAGTCCCAGTCTGAAAAGTGCTTTACTTCAATACTTCCATCGAATGATTTGTCTCTTTAGCTATGTGTCTCACTACATCCTTGCCTGTTAAATAAGCTCTTCCTTACCCTCAGAAACATATACATGGCTCTCAGCTGATTGTTTGGAGCTGTTACTCCTTTACATAGGATTGAAAACTTATATCAACCATGAGATCCACAATGGTTTACTGAAATGTACGTGAATTCATGCATGCATCTAAATCTGCTCATATGGATATAAAATTTGAGTCCATTTTTACAACCCAAGGTTGAGAGAATGATATTTTTCTACCATAATCTCCCACACTGAGATACCAGTCTTTCCTTTGCTTCCTGTCGCTATTTCTTTTCGGCTCCCAAGTCAAATTTCAGTGAAGCACAGTCTCTAAAACCCAAGAGTGGAGGACTGGGTTACCAGTTAGTGACCAGAATTATCCATTTATCTGTAGTCTTTGGTATAGTGATGTAAGTCCAGGGCAAGATTTATTCAGTAAAAATTCCTTGCCGACACAGGACACATACATTTATTCACCCGTAATTACAACAGAATGCTGACTATGCGGATCATCAAGTACTTTACAAGCAATAGCTTTTCTTCCACTCATTCTTGCACCACAGTTGACCTTGTTTTCCCTTTGAGAAGGCATTTATCCTGAACAGCAATCCTTAGATACACAGATTCCTCATACGTAAAGAAGGCTCCGAAGAGAGAACCGATGGAGACAGGGGTGCAAGTGCCTTTTAGAGCACATGAGGAGATGGCCTGGAGGAGCCTTTCTACAGAAAGGGAGAACACTCCAGCAGCAGGCAGGCAGCCTGGGATGCAAGCATACAGCATCCACCTCCTACGAGGTATTCTGTTCTGCTGTAAGGACACAAAATCCTTCTCTGACCCTAACAGGGATGGAGACTTGAAAAGCAACAAAAATACTTTTAAGATATACTAGTTCTCCACTTGAAAGACAGGAGGAAGAGGAGCACAAATAAGTTTCTCCAAGGCAGGTTTCAGATTCAGCTCGTTTCACACCACCACCCTTTAGTTGACATATTTTTTGTATCTTCACAGGGTCCAGGGATCTCTGAACTACTGCACTTCTCAGTGCACACTGCTAAGAGATGCAGTCTCCTGAGCCAAAGAATCTCCACCAAACAGAATAAAAAAGCAAAATAAACATTAGATCTCCAATTTTCTGACATCTACCTTAATCAATTGTTGTGCCCTCTTCCCTAAAATACACATCTTAAAAGTTGTAAGTTGTAACAGACATTTCAGTCTCTATGAAGTCAAAGGGACTTCGAAAATGCTTTTCTGAGATGAAATCTTGACTGTTATTAACATCTCCTTTTCTGTTTGTAATATATACTTAACCAGAAAACACAAGTACTTGGTGTTCAGTCCATAGAGCTGAAGAAATCACTTAGGTATTTATAAATATTAAGTCTGAAACACACACTTTGATTCATGAAACCAAGATTAGTGTGTTAGTAATTTTAAGTATATTATTAATTTTATTGCTGCTTTTGGCTTTAAACTTTAGCTTTTCTGATAAGAACACTGAACCTAAAGTTTCCTACAATATTATTCCAACTGAACCACATTATGAGCTCCTTCTTTGTATTCATTAGGCACAGTAAAAATCAAACCGTACTGCAGGGACCACCTACGTAGAGTCAATAAAGATCATAATTGGCCAAATATTTTCTTCTACAAACAGTAGTATAACACAGCAATGTCCTGTCTCAAAGTGTAACAACATGATGAGTGTCTTTAATGCAATATTTCAGGAAAAATCCCCTCGATGACTCAGAAGTGAGACAGGAGAAAAAGCTAGGATTCAATGAGGAATATGAAAGAGGTCTGGTCAGTTCAGCTGCCAGTTTCATTGTGGTCTACTCACCTCAATCACCTCAGGTTGGGACATCATGGAGGACGGCACCAAATCAGTGGGGATATCCATAGTAGCTCAAAATGTCCCTGATGTCTTTGCACCCTTCCTCTGCACCCGCAAACCCTTGGTTGGAACACAGGAGCACTTCCTCAGACCCTAATCATGCTGGCATTTGCTCCTAGTAGGAAGGAAAAAAAAAAAAATATCATTGAGAATAGTAAGAGAACTGGGTACGCAGTCAACACCCAAACCTCTCGGCTGCTGCAAAACCAGCCCGTGAGTTTGCACAACCTGACGTGCTTACATGACCATCCACAACAGATTTGCAGGAGACGTTTCAAAGGGCACATTAGAATTTGATTCAGAACAGACAATTCGCTCAACCACGCAAACTAGAATTCACACAAACTGAATACAGCATGAAGGCTAATGCATAAGCCATATACACATTCGCAAGGAAAGATGGTCACCTACAGAGCATTGGAATCATGTTAACCTTTTTTTTTTCCTACACCAACGAAAAAAAAAAAACCCTTACAGAAGAGTACTCATCGAGTTACTTGCTGGAATTTAGGATACAATTACTTCCTCAAGAACTATTGTTTTACAGTTCAGTGATCACATGAACTTTTCTTCTGTGTTAAGAAAAAATAACTTAAACATTATGACATCTTTGATTTATTTTAACCATACTTATTTTCATACCAGATAGGCACAGCTTTGCTGTAGGTGAATATACTGAATTGCTGTGTAAAGTTTGATCAGATGATCCAACAGAATGAAGTTATTTCCATAACTATCATGTTTATCAAGGTTAGATCAGCATCTGCATATGTTTCTATTCTTTCGGGCAAGGAAAACCAAACCAAACAAAAGGGGAGAAAACTATAAATGGCCAAGAAATTAAGCCCATTTAAAAATTCTCATCAAAGACTACCGCAGTTTTTTTCCCCAGCCAGGCCAGACATATACAACACAACCCACAACTTAGCCACCACAGAAAGGCTTTTTGAGAGACACCTATTGTTCTCTGTATCTACCACTTCCTATTCTACAAGTCACAGCAGAAAACTACTTCTGCTAACTGTATTCAGCAGCCAACATATATACCAAAAATGACCCCAAACCTAACTGGTGTTTTTTAAACTGAGACCATGGTGTAGTCATACAGATAATGCTAGTGACTTTCCTCACCTCCAGTTCATTTTTTCAAAGGCAACACTTAACTCATCACACCAAGAAAGAACAGATAAATGCTGTAGGAAAGTTGCACTCCACATGCTTTTCTGAGTCAGTTATAGCTTTCTTTTTTTTTTTTTTAAAAATGTTGTTCATTTAAACTCAGCCTTTACATGCCACTGTGGAAATTATTCCTCCTTAAAAAGCATCATCTTGAAATGCCTGCTTCACATTTCAACACATCCCCGCATGCCTTACGTCACATGTAGCTGTCTCATCTTCCAAACTCTCGGATCACTTTTTCCATCTTTATATGGCTTTCCAGTGACCCCTATTCTTTCCTACTCATTTCTTGCTAGTAACCTTTCATTCTTTCCACTCCTTGCTCCAAACTTCTACTACTATACTCATGGAGAGGACAGAAAATGGAGATTTAGCATTCCTCCAAGAAAGACTTCACTGGAAGTCAAAGAACGAAGCCACACATCCTTCAGGCTTCCCGTTTTCTTTTCAAAAACACAGTTTTGCCTATTTTGTGAAATTTGCTGTTTTTTCCACTGTGCATGACAGAAGAAGGAAACAGCATCAACTTGAAACTACTGCTTTTCTGACTTAGGGAAGCTTTGCTGTTTGACCAAGAGGAGAGCAATTTTCAGTAAAACTCGCATCAACAGCCTCAAGATACTCAACCAGCACATTTCATCACTGTCTTGTGAGCTGTCACAAATGTAACTTAAATAAGATCTCATAAGACCATTGTTTCTGTTCTTCTCAAAACATGCTTAGGAGCAGCAGTGTTACTGCATCTACTTTATAGCAGCTCACTATTAGTTTCTTTTAAAAGTTATTCTCTTCTCTTAATCCTGCACTGCTGCCACTCTTGGATAATGAAGATGGGGAAAAAATTACAGACGAAGCAGACTTTAGGGAAGACTAGACCAAAACCAGAGGTATGCTTAGAATCTTGTTTGCCACATATAAAAAAGCAGAGAAAATGACCATTTTTACTAGGGACCATCACAGAGCAGAAGAGACGAACTAAGGAAAAATAATAATCTTAAGTCTGTTCAGCCTTTGGCTAGCTCTGTGTAGTTCAGGTAAAGCAAAAATGACAGAAAAAGCTTAACCCCATAAAATCCAACTAGCACTTTAACGCAGATGAGAGGAGTAGTCACTTTTCACTATCTCTCCACGAAATAGAAAGCACACAATTAGTAAAAATTTCCTAAGCCTGTGATCATTTCGCATTTCCCTTCTGCACCTAGATGCCTTTTCATTGCTTGTATTGCGCTGATCCCTCTAATTTGACCAGGAAAAAGAAAGCTCTTTAGGCTCCTAAAAGCATTCCAGCTGAAAATAGGTTGGGCTGTACAAAAGGACTCTCCCCGTGCTCCCAACCCACCTCATCTTCTTCAGCAATAATAAAGTACAGAGGGGACTGTGCTTTCACAGCAGAGCAGAAACAGGCTGACTCCATTCAAGCAAACAAAGGTGGCTCCTAACTTAATACCCGTGTGAGATCAGGGTGCAGCCCTGTGTTTTTCAAGAACTGCAAATAAAGGGAACAGGATCCTCAAATGAACTTCACTAAAGGGCATTATGACAGAAAATGTAATCTCTATTAAAAAAGAAAGTCTGAAACACAAAAGCATAGGAGTGGCTTCTTACTAATGAGATTTTGACGGCTTACTGCATTACGGAGTGTTGAGAAAAATACCCACATTTGGAAGTAGATTCACACATATATTTCCCAAACACTGGAACTGCAGGTGTCACAGGCAGATACCACTCTACATACTCTTGTCCTGATATATGCTGTTGTCTTTACAGAGTGCTTCTAGAGGACTGCGAACTGGGGAAACACGTTGGAGCCATATCTAAAATTTGTAAAATGATTATAGAATTTCTTATCCCCCGTGAAGGTGACTCATCTCTCAGAAATTATGCTTCACCATAAACTACAACTCTTAGAAAGTAATTTATGGTAACACATTGAGGTTTTCGTTAATTGAGGGAAAAAAAAATAAAAAAATCAGCTGACACTCGGTAGAGTAGCACATATCTAACGTGGAGCAGGAACGCATCCTCACTGAACAAAATATATGCTCTCTGACACGCTATGATTAAGCACCATGATTTCTGGATCAGTTGTCTGAGACCACAGAAAAGAGGAACAATGCAGTTTTGTGATTACTTGGAGTGGTCAGGAGAAATACAATCACGTATCACAAAAACATCATCTTGAAGGAACCGCTTCCGGAAAATCCATTAGAATAACAAAAATTATTACCTTTATTCCTTCCCAGTTTCTTGCACTGTACACTGTGATCTGCAATGTAGGAGTGATACAGCAATACCAACAACTTCTGCATCACTGCGTATCTTGTCTAGGACCACAAATATACACTGCCTCTGCTAGAGTGAGGTGCGGGACTGAAAGGCAAATTGGATTTTCAAAATCTGTCTGACATAGGAGACAGCCGCAATTTCAGGTGTCCTGCTTGTTGCTGTCTTTCAGCTTTCTTTTCTTTCACCCCTATCAGAGCATCTTTTGGTACCATAACTTGACTTCACAGACCTCAAGTTTCTGGATTACATGACTCTGCAGATGCCCATTTGGTATGACCTTGAAGTTGTTAAATGTGACTTAGATAAACAGAGCTACCCTCCCTGCATACTTCTAGCGAACAAAAGCCTAACTTACGGTTTCTCAGAGCACAGTTTTAAGTCCTAATTGATCCCAGATGGACACGACCCGTAAACCCGTCAAGGAAAATAAAACATTTGAACAACATGTGAAAAGGCAAGAAAGTAAGAAAAAAATCTCACATAAGGGTCCCACTTCCAGATGTCACTTCAGAGACATTCCAGATTTCATGTGGGATCTGAAGTCTTGCCATCCAAAAGTAATCATTTGGCATCACTCACCTCCGGCAGCCTCCTTCGCTAAACAACCGCTGCTTGTAAGCGTTGGTTTGTTCAACACACAAATAAAAGCGTGACCCTACCATGGCAGCCTTACAAGGCAAAAAGGCAAGTGAACACCATCCAGGGAAGAGCAACAGCAAAGATTTGACCTGTTTACCACTTCATTTTACCACTTGTTAAAGTGATGGTGATAACATGAATTTTTAGTTATCTGCCATGGACTCATGGAGGTGTTTTTCTGCTCTCCAGTAATCACTTGGTTAATAAAAGAACAACTATGGATACACTTCCTAGCACATAAGAAAATAAACATGAAAGGCAGAAAAATTGGTTTCAATTTCATGCTGCTAAGAAAAGAGAAGAGGCCTTCCTGTTACTCCTTCCTTTACTACAGTGACTGCTAGGAACTATTGCAAAAATTTGGATTTTCTTTTGCAAGTTACAGAGTTATTTCTAGTAATAGAAAAATATTGCCTCTTTTGAGTCCTTATATTATTTTAGGTAAAGCCTTCACCGCCTCTTATGTTGACACTTTGAACAGCAGATGTACCGATTCAATCACACAAATGCAATTCTCTAGCTTAAAACTGTTCTGAAAAAGTTATTTAGTAGCAACTCTTCAAACACTGAAACTTCTCTTGATGTATGCTTTAAAACAATTCATAAAAAGATCCTAAAAAAACCCCAGGTTGTGTTGACGTGATTTCGTAGGTGAGCAGAGGTACCTGTAACTGTGAAACTATAGTCTTAGCAAAGGGCAAACCACACCGCAGAAATACAGGTAAGAAGCTCTTGGTGTCCCTGAAATTGCAAGGTGATCCAAACTCTGATGTCTGTATTGACTTCTCTGAAACAGTTTCAGCAAGCCTTTGCATAAACACAGCAATCTTTTTTTTTTTTTCTTCTTTTTTTTTTTTTTTATTATCAGTTTACTACTGATTAGAATGAGGGTAAAAGACACGTGCCAGCTCCCTGTCTGGTCACCTCAGAACTTTCCTCCTCTTTCCTCTCATGGCATGTCTGGAGTGGTGTTTCAGCAAATGTCTTGTTTTGTATCAGGGACCAGACTGC